CAGCATGTGGGACCCCAGATTCTGTGTAATTTGACAGCTTGGCACCATCAGTTTCTTCACCGCATTTGCTAATGTACCCCTTTGTCCTCAGCATTCATGTCGGGGTAGGCTGGTGTGCATCTTCCTTGTGGATTTTGTTGTTTCTTGGCTAGATGACCGCCTGTTTGTCTTCAAGCCTTTAAGACCCCAGATGCTGTATCATGATAACCGGGCACCATCTGCTTTCTTCACCACTTTTGCTAGTGCACCCCCTTTGTCCTCAGTGATCGAGTAGGAGCAGGCTGGTGTGTTTTTTCCTTGTGGGTTTTGTTGTCTCTCAGCTAGATGGCTGCTTGTTTATCTTCAGGTCTTTAAGACCTCAGCTCCGCCTCTGTCACAAACAAGATGGTTTCCCAGGGCGGGTCATCCCTCCAGGCCGGTTGCAGGTCAAGAGTGGGAGCAGTCGTGGTGTCTGACGTGCTCTGAAGAGGCGCAGACCTGGAGGAGGACATGGGATTCTGTGCAGACACATTAGTGTTTCTTAACCTGGACACTACTGATGTTTCAGATCAAATCATCTCCATTCTCTCTCTCTGTCTCTGCGCATCCTGACTTTACCCACTAGATGTCAGCAGCACTTGACAATCGTGAATGTCTGCAGACACTGAGCAGTGTCCCCGGGAGACAACATTGCCCTGGTTGAGAACCCGGTGTCCCATCAGTCCACAGACAAACGTGTCAGAGATGGCAAACGCTAGTGAGCGGATCGCCTTCACTGTTCTTTCCCACGCAAGTCATTAGAAGACCTGGTGGGGTGGCAGGTTTTGCGCTGAGCTGCTGACCACGAGGTCAGCCATCTAAAACCCCCAGATCTCCAGGAGGAAAACTGAGGCTTTCTACTCCCCAAAGCTTTAGTCTTGGGGACCCACAGGTGTTGTGCCCTAGCGCGTCACTAGGCACTGGCATTGACTTAGCGGTGGTCAGTGGTGGAGCATGAATCCTTACTCCTGAAAGCAACCTAGGCTAAGAGCAAGGAAACAGACAAGTAAACTAAGAGCTTAGCTAACTTTCAACTCATCGCCGAGATATCTAAATAGCTCGGGGATTCAAACATGGCCGAAGAGAGGAGTAATTAGATGCTCAGATTTCTCTCTCAGCTTGAGCTACCTGCCTCCCTGTGTTTGTCTGGGTACTTTGGAGAAACAAATCCACAGAAGCTTATGTATAAGACAGTTTTATGTAAACGTTTAGTGAGCATCAAGAAAACATCCCAACCCAGTGCTGCCCAAGCCCACAAGTCCAACACTAACCCATTAACCCATATGTCCAACACCAATCCACAAAGTCCTCCATCTCACAAAAAAGCAGCAACAATGATGCTGACTGCAGGAGGAAAGCCGAGTCAGTGAGTGTGTAAGCATCTCAGCCCTGGCAGGGGTCTCCACACAGCTGCTCTAGGACCTGGGGCTGCTTCGGGGTAGGTTCATGGGGTTTCTCCTTGGAGATGTCTTGCATAAGGTGACCAGACATCCTGCTTTTGGCGGGACAGTCCCGATTTTTAACAATTTTTCCCACGTCCCGTGGCGTTTTTAAAAAGTCCCGATTTTTGGAAAGAATGCACGACAAGCTAGGGTATATGGTTTTCGGCTGCCATGTGGCTATTTCGCCAGGATATGAGTTTTATCAATGGTGTCCTGCTTTACCAATGTTAAAATCTGGTCACCTTATTTAAGGGGCTCTTTGTGGCCTTGGGGCAGGGTGGGCGGGGGAGAAAATTGAAAATAGGCCCTTTGCAGAAAAGCTAGTGGAAAACAGCCTTCTCCCTGAGGAAACTACTGAAGATGGATCCCAAAGGCACTGAATACCGAAACACACAGATCTCTCCAGCTCTGTGTAAGCCCACCGCCACAGTGCACTTGACCTGGGTGTAATCCTGGTTGCTAGGCTGAGCGGCTGTAGAAGGGTGCCCAGGGCCCCAGGACCAGGTTGGTTGGAGAGTCTTTATTTAGAGGCTCTACGAATGGCCTGAACGGGTGGCTGGCTGGGGGTGGGGGGGAGGGGGAGGGCGTGGACTGGTCTTTCCAGTCCCACTGCTCAAGACACACAGTGTGGCTGGCCAGCAGGTGACATCTGTCCCTAGACAGGCCTTAACTTCATCCTCTAAGGAGGCCCCTCCAATCAACCAACCAACCGCAGCTTTGGAGCGGTTCCGGCTCACAGAGACTGGGACAGCAGAGCTGCTCCCCTGAGGGTGGGTTTCCGAGGCTGCACATCTTTATGGAAGCAGACAGCCAAGTCTTGCACCTGCAGAGTGGCCGATTTCAAGCCAGTGACGTTTTGCTTAGCAACCAGGTGCTTTAATCACAGTGCCGCTAAGTCTTCTCACTGCCTCTGTCTCCATGGGGGTCCGCCCACATGCAGATACGCCCACATTTGAGTACCCGGCGTGAAGTGTTATCCACGCTACACCATGCTTCAAGACAAAATTTCATTTATTAGTCATTAGAATTAAATATTTCACAATACAGAATTACATATTGTGTTTGTGATTCATCACTATGCTTTAGTTATGTTCAATTTGTAACAATGAAGATGCATCCTGCATATCAGATATTTACATGATGATTCATAACAGTAGCAAAATTACAGTTATGAAGTAGCAACAGAAATAATTTTATGGTTGGGGTCACCACAACATGAGGAACTTCATTGAAGGGTCGCAGCATTAGGGAGGTTGAGAACCGCTGCTCTAAATAAAGACACATGTAGTTGTCCCCTGACAGAGGCCCGCTCTGTGTCCGGGGTTGGGTTCTCCCTGGAAGCCGACTCTGAGATGAAGATCAGCACGCACTGTTCCCTAGGGAAGGAGCCCTGCTGGAGCTGTAGGTTAGGGCCGCTTAACCGCAAGGTTGGAGGTTCAAATCCACCAGCTTCTCCTTGAGAGAAGGATGAGGCTCTCTGCTCCTGTGAAGACGAACAGTCTTGGACACCCTTTATAGGGCCACCATGAGTAGTGGTCAAACCTGGGCTTGACGACCGAGGTTTTTTGGAGTGAGATGAACAGGCACAGACACAGCTGCGGTGGGTTTGGTTGGGTGTGGCTGGGGAGGGGTCTTGGTGAGAGCACTGTGGGAGGGAAAGGAAAGGAGCAGGGTTGGGTTGAGGGGGGAGAAGCACCTTGAGGCGGTCTAGACAAGATTCCAGCTGGTCTGAACTGGGGGTGGCCTCTGGGGCAGGTACCTGGGACTTTAATAACTCACGTCCCTCCCTGTTCTCTCCACCCCTGACCAGGAGTGAATGCCGAGTCACAGAAATCCTTTCCACGTGGTCCCCCACACCCTGCTTTGTGAGCGAGGCAGACGCAGAGGGCGGCCCTGAAGAGGAACCAAGGCTCCCGGAGATGAGAGGTGACCAAGCCAGGTGAGGACCTGCAGACCGGTGGGTGCTGGAGGAGACCCGCCTCCGTGACTCCCAGCACCCCCGCAGGGCTGGAGGGGAACTGCCAGTGTAATGGTGACCCCACCTGGGCAGAGGGCCGAGCAGAGCTGCCGTTTGAGCGTCGTCACTCAGGTGTCCTCACTTACGTAGGGAGCCCATTTCCTCCCAGGTGTGGAAAATAGGCCAGCTGAGAACGTAATCCTCCTCCTGGAAACTCACCTTTGGAGGCCGAGCCACGGCCTGCCCTGGCCTCCCCTCACAGGGTTCCTGGGACGCCCCTGAACTTCCCTGCGGCACCAGGCTCAGGCGGTGAGTCTGTTCGCTGGCTTTCCTCCCTGCACCAGAGAGCTTGGAGGGCCAAGGCAGCGTTTGGTCACTGTTCCCCGGGGCCCAGGGTCCCCCCTGCCCTGTGAGTGACGAGTGAGGGGTCGGACTCACTGCCGGGGACTGGGTAGACCAGACCCAGAGCTGGAGGTACGAAAGGGCAAATGAGGGGGGGACTGAGGCTCCCCGTGTGAGGTAGCCCCCGAAGCAAGCGAGTTAGAGAGGGGAAACTGCTGTCAGAGGCGGAGGGAGGGGCGTTGGTTGTGGGACGTCACATCCACTCCAACCCACGGCCACCATACGGAAGAGGGCGGGCTGCCACAGCGTGTCTAGGCTGCATTCTTCTTTGTAATCGTCTTACTGGGGCTCGTCCAGCTCGTATCACAGTCCATACACCATCCATTGTGTCAAGTGCATCTGTACATGTGTTGCCATCATCACTCAAAACATTTGCTTTCTACTTGAGCCCTTGGCATCAGCTGCTCATTTCCCTCCCTCACCAACCCTTGTTCATTTATAAGTTATTATTTTTTCATGTCTTATGCTGACCGATGTCTCCCTTTATCCACTTTTTTGTTGTCCATCCCCCTGGGAGGGGGTCATGGGTAGATCATTGTAATTGGTTCCCCCTTTCTCCCCCACCTTCCCTCCACCCTCCTGGTATTGCCACTCTCACCACTGGTCCTGAAGGGGTTTATCTGTCCTGGATTCCCTGTGTTTCCAGTTCCTATCTGTACCAGTGTACATGCTCTGGTCTAGCCAGATTTGTAAGGTAGAATTGGGATCATGATAGTGGGGGGAGGAAGCATTTAATAACTAGAGGAAAGTTGTATGTTTCATCGTTGCTACCCTGCACCCTGACTGGCTCGTCTCCTCCCCACAACCCTTCTGTAAGGGGGTGTCCAGTTGCCTAGGCTGCCTACCTGATGTAGTGAGATTCCCATTGGGCTTTTAACCGCAAGTCAGCAGTTGGGACCCACCAGCTGCGCCTCAGGAGAAGGGTGAGATGCTCTACCTGCCCTTGTAACAAATTACAGCCTGGCAGCCACAGGGGCACGGTCCTGCCCTGTCCAGCAGGGCCACAGTGGGCTGGCACTGACTCGATAGCAGGGGTTTTGAGTTCTCCTCCTGGGAGCAGGTGGTCCGACTCTTCCATGGAGGTGCTGGGTGGTTATCAGCCGGGTGCTCACTGTGGCGCAGCAGGGGGGCTGGGGGCCAGGGGCATTCGGAGCACCATTTGATGAAGGGATCCGCTGTAGACCTCCCACAGCCCCAGCCCATGAACAAGCGTGGCTGTCTCCCTCCCAGCACCTAGGTCTGGCCCCTCTGAGTCGGAGCAAAGGGAAGAGAGGAAGGAGAATGCCCAACCCAGACGGCGTTCCCAGATTCTTCGTGGCGCCTGGTCACACAGCAGAAAGCACAAAGAAGTGATTTAAGCATCTTGCAACTGAAGTTGCTCTTGCCAAACCCAGCGGGTCAGCAGACTCAGTAGATTCCAGAAGAGGCCGGACTTCTGAGACCTCTGTGTTCTTCCACCCTGATGTCAGCTTGCTGGCAGCCCACGCTGAGCTGCCCCACAGACGCGTCAAAGGGGGGCGGGGGACGGAGGGGAGAGCTGGCTTTGCTTGCAGTGTGGAAGCTCAGCTGCAAAGATAACTTGATCAGCACTGGATATTGTTTTCTGTCTGCTCCCAGGGCTGGCCAAGGCAAGGCTGGTGCTGTCAGCTGAGGAGACGCAGGGGCAATGTCTCTGATTCTGAAGTCAGAGGCCTGGCAGGAATAATAATGCATCCCAGATGGTTCAAACAGAGAGACTGTTAAAAACGGAACTGTTAACAGATGTGCAAGGGATGTCGAGGCACGGAGGCTTGTATCGGTAGGACGAGATGACCTCCCTACGGGTCAAAGGAAAGCAGGCCTTGTGCAGTGGGCGCCCAGGAGGAGGGGGTCTCCGGGGAGCACAGGCCTGTCTCGCTCCAGGGCACTGGAGCAGAAGTCCCCTACCTGCCCTTCCCGCAGAGGGGGTGCCTCCTGTTGGCCAAGCTTGATGTCCATCAGCCAGGGGGGACCTCGGATGACCCTTTTCTGAAAAGTTGTCCTCTTGGGGCCGAAACCACGGAAGTGAGCTTGACAGAGAGGACCAGTGCCTGCCAAATAACGGTGGGCGGCCCACAAACCATCAGACAGCAAGCAAGCCGGGCAGCAGGCTGAAGCGCCCGCTGGTCTGCAGCTTTCTGCTCCCTGAAGGACTTCCCGCCCCGGGCCCGCGGCGGGCGGCTCTGTGCACTGGGCATCTGTGAGGAGGACTTGCACGGTGAAGTCCATTGGAGGTACACGTTCCCACAGAAGGGCCTCGGGCGAAAGCCTGCAGCTGTGCTTCTGGACAGAGGTGCGCAGAGGCCCCACCGTGAGCAGACTGGACAACAATCGGTGTGGTTTGTGCCACATGCCTCCCTGCACACCTTCCCTCGGCTCCTATGCATTTCATCCAGGAGCCCTGCAAAGAGCCGGGTCCTCAGAATGCCGGAGGAGAGCGGGCAGGCGGCACGCTCCTGCCCTGAGAGGCTGTGTATGCAGGCTGGATGGTCCCAGAGGAAGGGAACAGGATCCCACTAAACCCAACCCACCACCACCCAGGCCATCCCAACACACGGCGACCCGAGAGGGCAGAACAGAACAGACCCGTGGGCTTCTGAGACTGTAATTCTGTATGGGAACAGAAAGCCTCGTCTTTCTCCGGAAAAGCGGCTGGTGGTTTCAAACTGCAGACCTTGCGGTGGACAGCCTAAGAAACTCATAACCACTATGCTGCCAGGGTTCCCTGACCTGGAACCAAACTCACTGCACTGGAGTCAGTGCTGTCACAGTGAGTCTACGGGACAGGCTAGAACTGCCCCGGGGGTGGGGGGGTGGGCGATATATTTTCACGTAACCTCCGTTCTCCAAGGTTGGCAGGGACTATGAAAAGGTACAGGATGCTTGTCAGGCGGTAAGGAGGAACACACGGTGCAGGGGAGGCCAGCACCCCTGATCTCACCCTGCCCACATGGCCTTAGGGCCTGGGGAGCTGCAGGAGGGGTCTGTGTGAGCAGAGGACCCTCGAGTCCACAGGGGCCATGTCACCCATGTGCCGCCACCAGGGAGCTCAGGTCAGCTTGGGCCTTGAAGCATCTCTGCTGTGGGCCCTCAGTAGCAGGAAAGAAACCTTTCTTTTCCCCTCTTGTGAGGTGAGGAGAGGTAGGTGTGACAGACAGTTCAGGCAGGGCCTTGCTAGCAGGCTGTAGCCATCAGAGGTGATGTCTTCTCAGGGAATCGTGGCTTGCTGGGAGCATGGAGGAAGGCATTGCCTGGTCAAGTTATTAAGTGCTGGTTGTCTCCCAGGTGTCCGGGTCTTCCTGCTCCGTCCCAAGGGGAGACCCCCTGAGCTGGCTCTCGGTATGCACACCCTGCCCCTGTGTGCAGGACACATAGCCTCTGGGTTTATAGAATTGTGGTGTTCTCTTCTTCAGTTAATACATCTCCTAACTAGCCTCTAGCATTCATTTCCTGGTAGGCCGACTTGGCAGGCACCCAGTGGGGCCTGGATCCTCTAACAGTGGTTCTCAACCTTCCTAATGCCGTGATCCTTTAATACTGTTCCTCATGTTGTGCTGACCCCCAACCAAAAATTATTTTTGTTGCTACTTCATAACTGTAATTTTGCTACTGTTATGAATCATAATGTAACTATCTGCTATGCGGGCTGTATTAGGCTACCCCTGTGAAAGGGTCATTCGACCCCCAAAGGGGTTGCGACCCACAGGTTGAGACCCACTGATGCTGTAATGGAACCAGCCCTGGTCCAGCTGACCTTGACCTGGAAAATTTCACCAAAGGTCCTGGTGTGACACGGGGTCTTGGGACACCCGGGTAATTTTCAAATGGAGCCCAACTCAAAGATCTCAGGGAGGGGTCCTGGTGGAGGAGTTGACAAAGCCAAGACCCTTGTGGTCACCAGGGCAGCGCCAGCCCCAATGGTTCCCGTGGAGGGACTGGGACTCAGCAGAGAGGAAATGCTCAGTTGGCTCTTGTCCACTAAGAGTTTGTGCTTCTGTGAGACTCTCCTTTGATCCCATCTCCTGGTCCTCCCAAACCCGACACTGTCGAACAAGACTAGCGTTTCAGTGACCCACAGGGTCACCATGGTGCACAGGTTGCAGCAGAGCTGCTAGATTAAGACGGGCTGGGAAGAAAGGCCTCACGGTCTACTTCTGAAAAGCAGCCAACGGGAAACCTGTGAGTCGCAGTCGATTACCGTCTGTAGGGTGGGAGCACTCAGGTCTGCAATGGTGGACAGAGTGGACCTGAGCAAGCCGACGGTCACGGAGAGGCCTCGGGACTGGGCAGTGGTTCCTTCTGTTGTGCGTGGGCCGCCACGCAGTGGAACCGACCGAGCAGCAGTCAGCCCCCACCATCACTGGATGGCAGAACTGCAGACCAGCCTAGGCTGAGTCAGCGCTAAAGCCGTGGTAGTCGGGCCGTAGTGGGACGATGCCAATAATGTGGGCACAGCAGCTCGTTCCTCTTCCTCACCGTCACGATCTAATTAGGACCATGCTTGGTGAATAAAGGGTCGGAGAGAAAGAGCACCTTCACCAAGATGGATTGACACAGTGCCTGCAACAAGGGGCTTGTTAGGTAGCAGGATAGGGACAGAGTTGTGCCTCTCCATGCCTGAAGGCCCCTCCAGGAGGTTGGGAAGAAAAATCAGGTGAGCCTTAGCTAGCCATAAAGACTAATTGGGCATGCTCAAATTCAGCTCCCTGCCCCTGCCCCAACACACACGCACACACGCACACACGTACACACACACACACACACACACACACACACACACACACACACACACACGTGTTAGCCCTGCACGGCCCAAACTAGGCCCAGGCTCATGACCTCACTCAGGTGGGCTTAATTCAGCCAGTGGGGTCAACCAATACCATCAACCATGCCTCCCCAGCCAGAGGCTTTAAATATCTTAGCAGTGGGACAACCAGCCCTCTTTTTTCTTCAGCCTTCGGCCCTCTCCCCTGGGACCCTACTCCTGCACCTGCTTGGCAGTGCCGAGGTCTCTCTGGCCTCAGGTCACCACGTGTGGGTGAGCAGTCCCACGAGGTTGCCCGTGTTCAGCTGTGGGCCCCAGCATGGCTTACACGAGGTTTGGCACGTTTCCCTGAAATAGCGTGTAGTCTTTTGAGACTGTAAAACCTGAAACTTCTTCTATCCTTTATAAAAGCCCACCTGGATCACAAACCAGGCTTCAGCACGAATTCCTTCTTGGGCAAAGCCAAGAACCGAGGTATTTCCCACCTGAGAAACCTAACGGGTGCAGACCTAACCACAGTGATGAGGATGGCCCGGGCCAGGCGGCGTCTCGCTCGAAGGCTGTCTGGCCTCCCGGACTCGGGGCCAGCTCAGCAGCACCTGAGAGCAGCAACCCATGGCTGGCGCTGGCGGTGATGAGCTCGAGCTGGGACTTTTTGTAGCAGCGGCTCCAGAGGGTTTTATGAAAGCCTCCCGAGTTTCGGTGGTTTCTTTTCTCTCAGTGCTTCTGAGGCACTGCTTTGGGTTGAAAAGTTCGCTGTTTTGTGCTGCTGGGGAGGAAGGTTGTGGTGGCTACCTGAATCCCAGTGGGGAGAGAGCCCATTGGTTGGCTGTTTTCCTAGCTGCTGCGCTGGCTGCTTGTTCAAACATTGATTTTTAGATTGCTCTCTGTAATCACACTGCAGTATGCTGCCCTGGCCCAGGGCCCACGCAGAGACTATAACTTGGAAAATCTCGATTCATTCTCCGGAAACCACTGACCCTCTCTCCTTTGGCTGCCCCAGCACGTCATCCAGGGCCTACAGCTTAGCCTGGTCGGACATCTTACGGCCTGGTTGGAAAAGGCCTGAGAGGAGCGCACATTCACACTCTTAATTTGCCACACACTTAATTTGACAAGTGCAGCACTTTGGCTTTAGCTCCTAAAATTGCTTCAGTCTTGAGGCAATGTGTGGTGGGAGGGGCCGAGCCGAAGATGATTCTTAAAGCAGGGACTACACAGGGCCACCTGAGCCTGCAGGCGCGGGCTAGAAACTCGGGGTGAGGCAGAAGCTGTTGACTTAGTGTGTGATCTGCGGTGTAGATTTTCAACAACAACAGCAAAATAAGTAAAATACATGATTAAAAAAAAACCACGACAGTTTTTTTAATCAGGTGAGACTAAGGGTCGACAGCCAGACTTGCCTTTGCAAAATTCCCAGTAAGCCCTCATGCACACTGTCGAGAGCGTCAGTAGGTGGAAGCTGTGATGATTACGTGAGAGGGACTGCCTTTCTCCCCGGTATATTTCCAAAAGTGGTGTGACAGTCTTCCCTTTGCCCTTCCTTACAGCCCCCTCCCCAGCGCAGTGGGTTGCCGTTCCAGAAACTTGCATTTGTAAGGGGACGCTGGATCACAGATGAGCGCTTGATCAAAGGAAGGTACGTAAAACAAAGATTGCTATGAGGGTTGCGGTTCACATACACCCAGGCTTACTGTGAACGCAGGATGCTTCAGCGTCTCGGCGAGTGGCGGGTGCCTGTGGGCAGCTTTATCAGTAATATATTTGTCTCAGCCTCGGGCCAGTTACGTTCAAGGCCAAGAAGCCGGCTTGGGTTATGGTATCTGGGGGACTCTCAAGGGGGTCACATTGGTAGGTTTTTCGTGAACAACACAGGGTAGTCATAGAGAGTTACTGGGGAGCCGTGTCAAGAGAATGAACGACAGCATGAGTGAGGAACGGAGCAGGGAAGGTGATGCCAGAAGCCTCTTCCCATCCTGGCAATGCACCTGCTTATTCTTCACGGCTAGCAGGGCCATACTATGCAACATTCATTCACTGGGGAATCCTGCCCCTTTCACCCTACAACCCCAACCTTGCCCCTTCATGCGCCTCTGTCTTCTCCACGTTCAGAGAGCATTGGAAAAGAACATGAGTTAAGTCCCTCAACCAGAACTTCATCTCACACATTTTGGATATGTTACCAGGCGGCCAGCCCCTGGGAAACGGCACCACATTGGTAAAGCGGAGGGTCCCTGGACAAGAGAAGGGTCTCAACAAGGGGTGTTTCCCCAGCAGCATGCTCCCTGCCTTTTTTCTCACCCACCGCCTGGCTGGGGAAGGCGGGGTTGAAGGTATTGTGTGACACCATTGGCCGTGTTAAGCCCGCCTGGGTGATGTGATGGGCCTGGGCCTAGTTTGGACCGCCCAGGTGTCCCTCCCACCTGGCTTGGGGGCTTGAAATGGAGTATCCTTAGTTAGGGGTCTTCATAGGTGTCCAATGGTTGCCTGATTTCCTTTCCATCCTCCTCTAGTCTCGGGGGTCTGCGCAGGCCTGGGGCAGGGGGGACAACTCCCTGCCTTACTCTGGCTACCTAACAGAGGCGAATGAACTCAAGGTCAGCAGGCAGTAAGGCAGGCCATTGGTTCATGCCCAGATTGGATTAGATGCAGGAGCCAGAGCCAGCAGAAAGGAAGCAGGGTTTTCCTGTGTATCTTGGTGTTAGGCTGCACCCCTGAGAGGAGCTCATCAAGGGGATTACCAGGTCTTAAGTACCAAATTTCGGGGAATCTTGGCTCAGTGACTGTGATAGGTTACGGAGTAGGCTTTGCTCTCATTTTCTCATGGTCACACATCTACTGCACAGGGTCACTTCCTCCTCTCTGGGTGGTTGTGTTTAGGTCGGTTGACCTTCAGAGCTTTGTGAAGGTAAGGGACAGCACAGCACAGCCCACCCACTGGTGGGTTCATAGCCCCCTGGGAGTGGGGGTGGGAGTTGGAGTGGGAGAAGGGGACCCAGTCACTGTACCTTTGCTCTAGTGTGAGCTCAGAGGAGCTGAGGCCAGCTCTTCCCAGAGCCCGTGAGCCTCTCTGGTGAGGTCGCCCCCCACTTCTTCCTCTCTCCAGGGTCACACTGGACAGAGGTCCAGGTTGTGCTGATGGAAAATTGAGAGGTTTCCTAAAATAAGAAGCCTTGTCACGCACCCGTCCTCTCCCTTTGGCTGAGCTGGGTGGGGCCTCTTTTGTATAAACCCATCGTTAGAGATGCGTTTCATCAGAAGCAGCTTTGGCAGAAAGGAGTGGGCATCAGTAGCCCTCTGGCAGCATCATGGAGAACAAGGGCCAGTGTGGGTCAATCCTGGGCGTCCCTCGGGATAATAGAGTGGGCGGGGAGGTGGACGGGGTTTTGTGCGCCCACTTCCTCTTGAAAGGGATGAATGAGCCTGGGGGAGGCTCGCAGGAGTCCCTCCCTTCCTGCCTTGACCCAAGGCCCTGTGATTCTGAGCTCCGAGCTTGGTATGGAGGAGCTGAATCCGGGTATTGCCGTGTGTTCTGGCCGGAGGGACCGAGAGCAAATCTTTCCTCTCCCATCTGGCAGCTGTATCAGCCCCTGCGGGGCCTCTGTGCAGGGCATGTGGACCCAGAGGGATGGTTCCTGCAAGGGTAGCCAGTGCTGGGTCAGCCTGGGGCTGATGGGAGACTGCTTTTTGTTTGCTCAGCGATAACACCGTCAGCGGCTCCCTGGACCAGGGATGATGAGCCGGGGCCAGCTTGTCTATGGAGAAAATGCCTCCAGAGTGTTGCAGTGCGGTGGCCTCTCTCTGCCCTTAAGCCTGACTCTTTCTTTTTTTAAAATAGTTTTATTGGCATGTACTTCGCACTTCATACCATTTAACAATCCAGTCATATGGAGAAGAGTTGTGCAGTCATCGTCACAATTTTAGAACATTTTCTTCTTTCTCGTAATCGCTGTTGTCAGCTCTTCATTTCCCCACAACCTCCTCCTGCGATGCCCTTAGGTAATTGTTAATTTCGGTCCTGTCTCTCTTGATTTATTGATCTGGGACTTCATATACAGAAAAACATTCAGAACAAGAAACAATAACAACAGCAACAAATCCAACCCGTCAATATGACAAACTAAAACAGAGAAAAACCTCCATAGAAAAGAAAGAGAATATTAAAAACTGGAAATAATTTAAAATGAGATCAAATGCTAAAGTGCTACATTTTAACCTAACCATATCTGCCATAATTAACTTTACAGTGCTCTCTGCCTGTTAGCAAGACTATTCACATCCCTAGATGTGAGAGGATTGATCGGAGGTTTTGTCATGTGGGGACCCTGCAAATGGATTTTAGGCTCCCACTGTCATCCATAACCTTCTGCAAGCCAGGTGTTCATAATTTAAATTCTGATGCCAGTCCCTCTGTGTTAGTCTGGGTAGACTAGAGAAACAAATTTATAAGCATGCATATGTATTTAAGGGACAGGTGAATATGCAAGAGCAGTTGAGCATTGAGAAAACATCCCAGCCCAGTCCAGATCAAGTCCATAAGTCCGATATTAGCCCATATGTCTGCTACCAATCTATAAAGTCCTCTTCAGACTCACAAAACACATGCAATGACGCCGAGTAGTCAGTGGGTAGAAAGTCTTCGGATCCAGTGTCATTGGAAATATCTCAGTGCTGGCAGGGGTCTCTGCATCAGGGTGGGTCCATGTGTGTTGTCTCCCAGGGTGTGAGCAGAGAGTCTGTCCTACCTCCAAGGAGGAAATACCAGATTTTCCAGAATTCTCAGGAGAAGGTCATATCCACACAGAAGCCTCATTGGCTATGATCCAATTGACAGACTAGACTCTACCCCTTCACGCATAATCCTCTCAAATGAACAATTATATAACCACCACACCCTCCTCTTGGTTTGGATTTTACTGTTCACAATTCTTGGATCACACACCTTGTGTGCTTTCTCCATGTGGACTTGGTTGATACCTCACATAGATGGCTGCTTGTTTTAAGACAAGCCTTTAAGACCTCAGACATGATTCTATTTGATAGCCGGGCACCATCTGGTGTCTTCAGCACACTTTGCTATAGCATGTATATCTTCAGTGATCTCTTCATGAGGGTGAGTATCAACTAGGGCCATGGCCGGACTCTGTTTCTTGCTGATTATTAGCACAGTCTGTGCACCTCTTCAGTTTTGGATTTTATTTGTTTATTTTGATTCATTCTTCTGCTGGAAGGGCTACCCCCACCCCCAGCGCCCCCTCCTACTGCACTCAGTTGATCTGACATTGGATGTCACCCAGTGTAGCAGACTCTCTCACTCTTGTATATGAGGGTGGTGCTTTTAAGGGTACTTAGTTTTCTGTTTAGAGTTCTCCTGATAGGATTTCCCAACTGTGCATGTGATGAGAAGCAGCAGCCAGGTGAGAACAGAAGGGCAGCAGCTCTCCCTCCTTTTGTGATTCTGCCGTGAGAAACAGGAGAGGGTCCCCAGCGGAGGACACGCTCACACCATGACCACAGACTGGTGTCCACTACTTGGGAGATCGGCAGGACTTGGATGAGGTCACCAACATGGGCTCCTTTGCCGATGGCTGTGGGAATCACTGAGAGGCATGGGTGGGGGCGCTCACCTTCTCAACACCCCAAGGGTGGACAGGGACTAGTAGGAGGCCTGTTGGGGGGAATTCTGCTTTCTTCCTGGTATATTTGGCTTTGGGTGGCTTGGGTGTGGTTGGGGGGGTCACTCAATGCCATCAAGTTGACTCCTGTTGGATAGAATTGAACTGGCCTGTGGGTCTCTGTCAGGAGTAGAGAGCCTGCCTTTGTCCTGTGGGCAGTTGGTGCTTTTGAACTGTCGACCTCGTAGCAGCCGTCTTGACATGTAACCATTACGCCACCAGGGCTCTTTACAGTTGGGGTTTCAGGAACACGACCATCATGTGAAATGGAAGACTAAGACAGAACAGTGGAGCCCAGAGAGGGGGTCCAATCCATCCTTGCTAACCCTGGGGATTCTTGCTCAGAGCCCTGGCGAGCAGCCCACTGCGACCATCAGTGTCCACTCTGGGGGACAGTAGAGCAGCGCCTCTTCCTCAGTGGGAGATACAAAGAGCAGGTGAGATCTGTGTGCTGGGGGACTGGAGAGCTACCAGGGAGAGGCAGGCAGCAGTGAGCGCATGGACGGCGTGGGGCTCATTGCGCAGTCTCGGGGGTCGGGGTGGGTGTGGACTTGGTCTTCTGGCTTCTGAACCGTCAGTGGGAAGCAGATGAAGAAAACAGTTGTATTGCTTCTTCCTCTTGCGCACCCCGCTCCTTGTTAGGGTACGTTTTGGATGGCGGCTTTGTGAGGGGAGCGCTGTGGCGAGCACTCCAGCTGTCTCTCGGTGGCATGTCAGTGCTGAGCTTGAGAGCATCGCCTTAAAGGCAGGCTACCCTTCTGGAAGAGACAGGGACCAGCCAGGCGCGAGTCCATGCCTTTCCACTGACCACTGACCACTCTCACCAGAGGCCCCTGCCTCTAATCCCAAACCACTCACTTAGATTCTTCCTTCGTGTTGGCATCTTTCACTGGTTAGTGCCGGGTCTGACTTGGAAGCAGCCTGGCTGCTTTGATACTGGGCCCCCTTTTCACCTGGGTCAGCC